ACGTGTTAATTATCGCGCTGCCGTTTATCGGGATCATGGGCGTGTTATCGTCCCCGCGATCGGTGAGGAGCAATCGCGAGTCTCTACGGGTTTTCTCCGCGGTTTCTTGCCTTCTCTTCTCCACGCAAGCGTATCGTGCTATTAATGACCTGGCAATTTCTCTTGCCTATCGGCTACGATTTTCCAGGCCAGGAATTTTCAAGCCAAAGTATCGCTAGCCACACGCGTCGCCAGTACAATTGCAAATTCTAATCGCAACTATTGTGGATTTGTCAGCCACAAGCCGCGAAATATTAATATAAAATGATATATCGTTAGCGTAATATTTTTTTTTTTACTCTTAGGTATGATAATGAAATGCTCCATAACGACGATGAATAATATGATCTTGATTAGATAAAACTGCAAACATGTTTATTGTCTAAATTTAAAATGATCTTTTTGCACGATATATTTTTTGCTAAATCGAGTACACAAAAATCGAAACTAGAGCACGTAAAAGGCACTTGATTTGTGCTTTTTCGATTATCTTTTATTGCGAGGAGAGAGAGAGAGAGAGAGATGCTAACTTAAGACAGAGGTCGATAATTGGACGGGCCAGCCGAATGTTCGAACGTAGAAACTGATGATTAACTCGATATCCAATTAAAAGTATATTCATATTAAAAAATACGAAACGAAGCACACATGTGCGTAATCATGTGGTATATCGCTACAGTTGCGGTTAAGGTCCTTGTCTGTCGTTACCTCGGTATTATCAAGCGAATTATTCACGGTCCTCGAATATCTCGATAATAGGCGCCGCCTATTACCGCTTGGCAGGATGGGATATCGTTACTCGGTTTCTTATGTTCCGTATAACCCGTCCTTTTAATAGTCCACCGTGGCCTCGTTATATCTCCTCTTGTTGCCGTAAGTATTCTCATTTTCATTTATCCTCGGGCGATCTGATGAAAAAACGTTTCAGATCGTATGTGCGAGTTTTATTATTATTAAATAGAACGTAGCCGTTATATGTACGAGTGACAATCTTAAAATTATCGTCTTAGGTAATAAGTTCAAGAACATGACATTTTGTAATACAGCTAGTCAAGCGAGTAATAATTATTGTCGTAACATAATACTTTATACACGGATATTTCGAAGTGAGTGAGTAAAAAAAATGTCTATATTGTAAATTATATTTATATATTACTTAATTTCCGCTTTTCACTGTTGCTTTCTAATTTTCTACTCTTAACTTTTTCCACTTTTTCTACTCCCGTGATACCAAAAGGCGATCACGTTGCTGGAAAGGTAGTAATCAGTTGGTTAGCAACGATCTTCCCGCCGGTAAAATGTTGCTGCGCCCTATCGAGTTGTACGTAATTGTGCAATAAATTGTTACTTAATTGAGCGCCATGCCGTCACTGATTTACATCGTGCTTTCACTTCTTTTATAAATCGCTCGACGTACGTTAGTATCAGCTAGCCAGCCGCAGGAAAGCTGTTGGTAGCGCCGAGACATTCGATTTTCCGCGATGTTAAACAAGAAACTTGCCGTAGACTCTCAAAAATAATTAAACCGGATCGAAACTGTCTCCCTCGCAGAAGACATCTACTTCATCGTAATATAAAAAATTTACGCGCACAGGCTCTTTAGATTGCGCATTCGCTGTATCAATAAATAATAATAATCTTGGTTAATCCTGTGTAACTCGCGTGAAAATAAAGCATCGTTTCAAGACTGATTGGCCACACTGTCGCTGCATTTGATAACGACCAGAGAGAATCTTCCAGATTCATTCACCATTCGTTATCTGTGCAAAAATCGGGAAGCTTCCAATCCAATCGGCGGGGTTACTTCGTCATGCGCCGTGCATCGCGTTTCGAACCACGACATTGCAAACAACAGGCATTTCGCGATCGTCCGCTCGTCGTCGTGCTGCAATCTCGTCGTTCATAAACAATACACGAAGAAGCGAATCTCCTTGAGATCGGCAATAAGTAATAGCCGTGACGGGTGAGGCCGAGCCGAGAACCCAGTGAGCAACATTCTTAAAGGGGTCAGCGCCGTGTCACGGGAAGAAAGAGTTCGCGATTCCTCCGCAGGAAGTATATATAGAAGCTACGTATATTCCGCTTGACGAAGACCCCGACTTCGCCGTAGAAAGTTGAGTCGAGAAGTCCACATTACGGCTTTGCAACTTAAACATTTTTGTACGCGACAGGCACAAAAATAATTTAATTTTAATACTCATTGTATATATAAAAAAAGAAAGAAAAAAATTGTGAAAGAAATTATATCTTATTTATACGCGTTTTTATCTATTCGAAAATAACTGTATTCTTTATAAGAGATATTAAGATCGCCGATTCCGTTCATACGTTTTTATGTCCTTAAGATGTCCTAGTTTTATTTTTCGCCGAAACTATTGAAAACTTCTTTGATCAAATGCATAGATTTTATCGATTTTTACGGATGCTTGTAATGTAAACAGCAATATTTTTATGCTATAGTGTTGCAAACAATCATCCAATTGAATATATTTTGCATAATATTATAGAATTACAGAAATAAGAAATTATCGTTTACTTCCAATTTCTTTAAGTTCTGTTTTTATTTCTGTCGCACCGTTTATGTTAATAAATACCGAGATTTGTGGAAAATACCGTGCGGATTCGAGCACCTTGATTTCAAAATCATACGTTTCTCGTCTTTCGCCCAAGGCGGTCGACGTTTTGTGAATGAAACGGCCATTTTTCGACGTTTAACGACCTTACCAGAGGTAAAGAAAACGTTGATTCGACTAGACATCATTCGGTTTCAGCATATCGATTTGACGCATATTTTTCTATTTTGCTCACATAATGATCAAATTTTTGCCATTTTCATAGTATCTAATAGACAATAATCATGACATAGGAAAAGAAATAATTAGAGACATAAATTGCAAAGGGTAGATCGTTGTTCATAAATTCGTAAATTTATTTTGTTAGAGAAAAATATAAATCATACTAGAAATAATTAAAATTTAATTTGCTCGTGGAGGAGGATTCCATTTAAGAAATAAATATAATAAAAATCTTCCTTTTTTTTTTCACTATAATGAAATAACGCTTTTTTACGAAAAACAAAATTAACTTAACTAATAATATCTTATATTATTGAATCGAAACGAACATGTGCCTGCGATGACACTTCCTGATACTATATATATATATATATATATATTCAGATTTTTGAGAAAAACTTGGAACTGCCTTGTGATCCAAGACATCCAACATGCTCGGGGTGGGAAATAGGCGTTTCTTTATAGAGTATTTGATTACGGTGACGAGCTGCAGGTGAATGAAATACGTGGTGGGGCGATAATACGGCAGTTAGTATGCAGCGGGTACTGTTACTCAATGTTAATACCAAGAGGCCCCATTGATCTTTCCCGTCGGGAACGCGCGGTTCAGGAACGAGGGAACAGATTCCAGACACAGCCAAATCGAGAAAGCACGCTTCCCCTTCCTCACTTCTTTGCCGGACAACAGGGTGGTGTTGCACGAAGAAGCCAACTCTGGAATGCCACGAGTTCCGATCCGAGTTGTACAGTCCAGATCGTTCCAACCTGTCCGGCGTGTACCACCGGAGTAAGTCGACGAGGAGCAAGAAAGAAGAGGGCTGTGCGACGCGATGGAGACCGAAGGGAGAGAGAGAGAGAGAGAGAGAGAGAGAGAGAGAGAGAGAGAGAGAGAGAGAGAGAGAGAGAGAGAGAAGAAGAACGAACG